AAATAGCAAAAATAAGCTACAAACCGTATGCTTTTACATGCATCTCTACTCCTTAAGGCAGAAAGTACAGAAAAACATTGCTTTGTGACCTATTCTAGAAAATACCAGATATGTATCACAGATTCACAGAGTGGAAAGGGTTGGAAGGGACCTATAGAGCTCATCTAGTCCAACCCCCCTGCCAGAGCAGGATCACCTGGAGTAGGTCACACAGGAACAAGTACATGTGGCTTTGGAAAGTCTCCAGAGAAGGAGACTCCACCACCTCTCTGGGCAGCCTGTTCAGTGCTCTGTCACCTCACAGGGAAGAAGGGTTTCCTCATGTTCAGGTTGACCCTTCTGTTTTCCAGTTTAGGGCCATTGCCCCATTTCCTGCCACTGGACACCACTGAGAAGAGCCTGGCCCCATCCTCCTGACACCCACCTTTTAGAGATTGATAAGATCCCTCCTCACTCTCCTCTTCTCCAAGCCAAACAGACTCCCTAAACAGTCATATATATGACATTAAACAGCGGTGTCATAGGCTGCCATCGAGACTTAACCACTGCCTGCTTAATTAGCTCCCCTGTGGGCAGCAACTCTGCGTTAGAGACATAGTGTACAGGTTGGCATTTATATAAGCAGTATGCGCCCTTCCTACTGCCTGGTTTAGCTTTTCCCCACACAGCAGTGACAGCCAGGCAAACCAGCAGTACGCGTGTGCTGTTGAACTTCCCTGCCTACGTTCTGCAAACTACTTTGCAGAACACCTTGTAACAGTTCTTTCATGTTATTTCCCTGTGTAAAGGGCAAGAAGTACAGAGTTGGCATATTCAGATTTTCCCGTTTGGAGGTAGCAGTGAGACTGTGTGTCAGCTTCCACCATAATCCCTTCCCCAGCCCCCTAATTATATATAGTTTGGGTATGTCCATAGTTCCATAAATACATGTCCTCACATCTGCCCTACTGTCTCTTCCAACTGTTGACATGTTCTCTCAATTTATATGTGAAAAACAAGAGTGTTGGAAAACAACCTCTTGGGAAAATACTGATGATTGTTCTCCACCCTTGGGCTACTCCGCCAGGGACAGTCAGCTCTTTGTCTGGGACAGAAACATCAGCTGGATGCATACAAACTGACTGGGGATTTGTTCTGGGTCTTTTTCAGAAGCAAAATGAGAATTCACGGGATGCTTGTGTTTACAGATTAATTGCCCCCCTTTCAAGGCAATACTTCTCTGGGCTGATGACTGATCTGTTAAGATTTGCTCAACTGTCATGTGTGGGTTTTTTTACATGGCCTCCTCTACTCTGGAGAACATAAATTACACATTCACACTTGACAGGAACCTTAGGATGACAGAGTAATGTGGCAGCAAACATCACACAAGCACCTGCCTTTGCATTCCTGTAGCTCCTCAGCAAAGACCATGAAGTAGCAGCTCCTGCTTCTCCAAAAGGCCCAGTTTATTTTCCTGTTTGACCCAAGCAGAACTCAGGTGAAACTGAGAGAACATTTACCCCATAAAGTATGCAGCATGCAGAGAACTGGTGCTGTCTGTCAGGCCTTAGCATGTTCTAACAGGCTCCACTGGCAAACCGCTCTGCACCACCCCACTTCTGGGGCTTCGGAGAGCTTTGTGGCTTTAGAGGTAAGTTTGCAATTGCTGTGTGGCATGGGTTTAGGTTTTTTTATTCCTTTTTGGCACAGGAGCGTATCACGCAGCATCCCGAGGTTCTCTGCCAGCTAAGTGTTTCCTGTGAGAAGTCATTCGCAGCTGTTGATTTCCAGTGTCCCAGAGAGCTTCGCTGAATTTGGCTGCAAGGGATTTGCACAAGCCATGACAAGCACAGGAGGTGTTCTCAGAACTCAAACTGTGAGGTTCAATCTGCCCTATTGTGCTGGTACCTAAGCATGTCTGCAGCTGCAGCTGCTCAGATGAAGAGTCCAGCTTCACTTTGTGTATTGTCAGAATTTCACAGTAGCTTTGTATAACCCCTTTGTGCAGATATCCAAGGGCTAAGGGGGCTGATTAGTCCCAAACACCGCTCAAAACAGACAGCCATTATAGAGCAGTGTTGTCTGCCTTTCATAACATGCCAGCAGAAACCTCGTGAGGATGGTTTTAGCTTAGCTTGCAGCCAGATTTCTACCTACCATTTTACCCCGGGGGTAAAAAGCTGTCATTCTGTACCATCACCCTCATGTAATCCGATGGGGGGAGGGAGGGAATGTTATTTATGTGAAATTCTTTCTCCCAAGAGGACAAAATCCGCCACTGATCCTGACAAAGTAGGCACAAAGCCATGGAAAGCCGGGGAAGTTACACAAGGGTGCAGAGCTGTTTGTGGACCCGATGACACACTGGGCCCTATGTTGCTTCGTGGGCAGTAGGTGGGGCTTTCGGCATTTGTGTGGGAGCTCTCCATGAGATCCGGAGGAGGACAAGGCTACAACCTTCTGGTTTTCATCAGGCATCCCCCTCCAGCAGGGCTGAGGCATGGGTGGAGTTGGACAGCAAAATAAACACTGACAGGCGGCATCTTGCGAGTACGCGCAGCCTCGGGACAGGCAGCTAGGAGGACAGGTTAAAACGTAAGTATGCCTACTTTCTCCGCTTCCTTAACAGAGTTAGTGGCTTGTGGAATGGCACATTCCGGCTGCGCTTACTGGCTGCACCAGTGTAACCAGCAGATGCCTGCTATGCTTTCTGTACCTTTGGCCCACATGCTAACAGCTGCAGAAAAAGCCTAGATATCCTACAGTCACATGAACAGATGGAAATCTCCGAGCTAAGCTTTCCTGGGGGTCTAAAAATTAACTGAACTGTAAATATTTGGAGGATTCTTCCCAATTTGTCTCCCCCTTCTCCCACCCACCCCCCAAAAAAGTGCATTGCTTTACGTAATGCAGAAGTAGTTCTTACATGCAGTCACCAGCAGCACTGGCCACAAAGTTAGAGAAGGCAGAATCATGAGAGATCTAAGCAGCCGTGAGAAAAAGGGGTGTCAGGGAGGGGCTGGAATTGGCAAGCACCAAGACCAGGAAGCTAGTACAGCAGCTACAACAGCATGTGCTGAAATGGCGTTTGTCTGCTCTGTAACATAACCAGACAGGACACGAGGAGAACGGGTTTTGTCAAGTTGTAGGAAGTTGCGAGCCAAGCATCATTCTGCCTTCAGAATGACAATGGGTAACATAAATGAAGTTTCTGTAGGAAGTTTCAGTAAAGCTTCGTCACGTTTGCTTCTAAGATGACTGGGTTTCTGCTTTACTGTTACGCTTCACTGCTTTCAAAGTACTATCGACAGACCTGTCTTAGTCCAGCTCAGGTGTGCACCAGCCCTGGTGACCCGTCATCCTGGCAGACTCAACATGTCCTGCCTCCAGGTTGGGACCAAGGGGGACAGTGCCCCCAAGTAACTGCTGGCATCAGGCTCCTGCCGCGTGGTTCTCTGATCTTCCCTTGCTCTGGGTGCAACGGAAGGAGCTGCTACTAAAAATGCAAGTGCACTGCACACCACTTATTCTGACAGGTGAAATCAGTGCCAGCAGGGTTCTCTGGTGTTTGGTGGGTTTGTTTTACAAGTTTTTCAACCTCATGGACCCCAAAGAGGAAACTCCTTGGTAGTCACCTCTAATCCAGAGTACATAAGGGGATTAATAGTATTCAGCAGTAGCCTACGTGTCCTAAGAAAATGTAAACAGAAAACAAAGTAGTCAGGTAGCACAGTGCATTTGTGTTTTTACAGAGGAGCCGAGGTCTTATATTCACAAACCATAACGTTTAAGATGGCATAAAGACTTTAAAAATGCTTATTATAGGTGACAAATTGTCCATCATTCATATTTAACACAAAACACTATTATGGACCTCAACAGACGTGATCTTTGTTGGCAATCCCCCTTGCTGCTCGGTGCTGTACCCCTACCACAGCAGGTGGCACACGCTGTGAATTCCATCAGCGTACCTTTAATGCTAAAATCCATGAAAAAAGGAGCACAAGTGACACAGCAATGGCTTCTTGTTGTGTGGGCAGCTACAGAAACAGCCGAGGAGGCAGAGAAATGAAAAATAACCTGTTTGCTCCATTACCCCAGAAACACGCAGTTAAGTTATACTCTGAGAAGACAACATACTGTGATGCAAGAACGAAGGGAACTGCTGAACTAAGTACATGCTGCCCTCGGAATGCAAAGTGCAAAGACATCATAACCTAATAGAAAGCAGAGACCTTGTGATGTAGGTTATGCACTATGATCTGCCTGGTATTGACAGAAGTAATAAATGGAAGGCTCCTAAAATCTCAGGATTTTTAAGCAGATGTGATTGTTCCAATAGTGATTTTAATTATTTTCGATTTTGGGATGGTGGAAGTTGAATGTTTTCAGCTTTTCCTTTCCATGGGAAGGCTACTTAGGGAAGTAGCTATACTTTCATAAATACAGAACATCTCACCTAGTCACAGGCCTCTGGGGCTAAAAGCCTTTAAGAAAGGCACCAGCTATTGCGAGTGGCCTGACAAAGTTATGAGCAGTCAGAAACGCCACAATACCCATCAACACCAGGACCTTTTCATCCAGGAACAAACTGGCTGAATTCCTGAAGTCCTTTTTACTTACAGCTTTCCACAAAACTGCCACTTGCAGAATCTCCAACATTCAGTTTTGCAGCCAGAAGCAAAGGCAGCATATCCTGGAAGATGAACACTCCCACAGCCGCGTAGAGACAGCTCCTTGGTCCTGGTCATCTGTTGGTTACCTCAGGCTTTCAGCCCTTGCAGAATCATTAGTGGTAAGCAGTGGAAGCCAGGCCTTTCACAATTTCAGGAGCACCTGTCTTTTGCCTGAACTTTCCCAGTCGCTTCTCAGTGCAGGAGGTGTTACTGGAAGGCTGAAGAACTGAGGCTGAGAAAAAGCTCTTCAGCATTAGACAGAAAAGCCCTAATGTTTTCTTCTGCCCCATTTATACTGCACTGATTGGAGGCCAATGAACTGTGTCTGCCTTGCAGCTCTGAAGATGATCAAATCCTTCAAGCAAACGTTTCTGTCCCTGGATCTACAGTCCCCTCGGTGGAGCTCAGCAGAAACGATGGTAACTGCTAACAGCCAGGGGAAGAGATGTCTGCAGCCAGGGTGCTGCAGAGCCAAGGGGGATTGGGGACTCCTGGTCTGATGATCATGGAGCTGCTGGGAAGTGTTGCCATAGTCACCTTCACAGCCAACTCTGAACAGAGGGAGGAATACTTACAAACTCTGAGCTCAGCCTAAGGCAGAAGAGCATGGTTTTGCCATTTCCAACAGTTTGACACTGGGGGTAAATCTAAAGCCTACAGCAAAGAGGTTGACCACTATTGCAACAGTATTTTCATGCTGATTTGGAGAAAATAGCTATTAAGTTAAATAATCTTTAATATTCGTCTCGTGGTTACTATGACTTTTGCTACCTTTCAGGCAAAGGATTATGAACTGCGTCAGTATGAGACAGCCAAGTGGGTCAGCACAATCATTATGGGAGAAACCCAGAAGGAGGCGATGCACCAGGGCTTCTGGAAACTCTTCCGCTACATCCAAGGGAAGAATGAGAAAGGTACAAGGTGTACAAGGTGCTGGTTCTGAACTGCAAGCAGTGCAGATGGGAGCTGGAGCTGAACAGCAAGAACCAGTAAATGAGCTGTGGGACATGGCAGGTTCCCCTTCCTGGTCTAACACCTTGCTGACTCCATTAGGCTGCTTTGGTATCCGCTTGTAGGATAAAGCTGCATCACCCCGGCCATCTTTGCTTGCAGCCTGGACAACTTTCTTCCCTCTCCTCTAGAAATGAAGATGGACATGACTGTGCCAGTGACATGCCTGATAAAATCTGGCTGCACAGACTTCAAGATCTCCTTCTTTGTGCCATTTGAACACCAGGACTCCCCACCACAGCCCACCGACTCGGATGTGTTTATTGAAGAGAGGAAGGCAGCAGGCATCTTCGTCCGGTAAGCAGCACCGGCACAGCTGGTGAATTTATATTCTCACTTTCATGACGCCTGCGTGGCAGTTGTTACAGGAGAAGCACGCAAAGCTACACTTGCCTTCTCTGCATGTATTAAAGCCACAGGCAACCACCCCTTTCAGCTAGTGCTCTCAGAATTGCAAGCAACTTTGGAAGTGGCTGGTTTTGGGAATGATGTTTAACAATACGAACTTTTAAAGTAGCACACATAGCCATATGGTCCCTACAGCTAGTTATCAGTTTATCTGAAACTGCTAGTTGCTTGAGAAGTGCTCAAGCACCGCATGCTTTGCCAGCTTTAAGTTCCCTTCTGTGAAACTAAAAAGCAGGGGCTTAAACCTTGAAAAACCCACCCCTTTTCACTTCTACCAGGTCCTTCGGTGGATTTGCCTCCCCAGAGAAATATGCTGAGGAGGCTGAAGTCTTGGCCAGAATCTTAAGAAACAGAGGCCAACAATTCCATGAAGACAGCTTCTATACTGCAGGCTATGACAGTCCCTTCAAGCTCTTTAACAGACACAACGAAGTCTGGTATTTTAAAAAGTAATATGGTGGGAGGGAATATTGAAGCTACTAATCAGTTCTGAATGAAAACAGATCTTAATGGCTTTTGCTTTAGTGCAGAACAGATTTAATTCACACATGGACACCAGATGTCCAATTAGTTTTCTCTAGGATGAAATACTGTTGTGGCTAAAAGAATATTTCAGCTCTTTCTACAAGATGTAATTCGAATTCAAGTAGACTGTACCATCTGGAATGGGAGGGACAGACAAATGTACTGTTGCAGCAAGGCTCCAAGGAACACTAACAATCTGAAAATATGCCTGAACAGTTTGTATGTCTAGTTTTACTTATTAGGAGTGCTACAGCAATAGCTCAAGTGTTAACAAGAACTAGTTCTCCATACAGCTGACTTCCCATATCAGCCTGAGTCTTGTGCCAACAGAAAGATGAGGGAAATTAATTTTTCAGAGAAGAAACCTACCATTAATGAGTTTGGGGAAGCAGTAATACCTTAAGCAGGCCCCCATGACCCATAAGCAGTAACATTTCATAAACTGCCCTCCACCTCTCCACTCAAGCTTTTTTCCTCATGGAGGCTGGAGTCTTGCTCCAGACTAACACCAGCGACCAGATCAGGAGTTGAGGGGAAAAGCATTAAGTGTCCAAGCAGTACGCTTATTGTGTGCGCACAGACTTACTGCTGGCCTTGGATTTTATGAGCAAATACACAGGTAGTAGTGTTTAGCTGTCACCTACACAACACTAATTACTACTTCAAGTATTTGGTCAGGTCAGCTGCAGTCTGCACACTGGCAATATCTGACATCTAAGTTAAGACACTTCCAGGAATAGCACTTAAACTAGCTCAGCCCCTGCTCTAAATCAAGCATTTGAAGCTTTTATAAGATAGCAAGTCAGAAAGCAGTTGGAAACAACCCGTGAGTTTACAGATTTATTGGTTCCAATCAGTATCAGTCAAACATTACCAATGTGGTAAGTAAAACCTTAGCTTTTAAATGCTGTTTATGCAAGTGTAACCCATTATTCTGCCATCTTCCCCCTGTTAAGACAGACAAAAACCATTGTAAGACACACCAAGCCAGCCTAAGAAGCTTGCTGGGAACAACTCAGACCTTAGATTTTCATCTCTGCTCAGAGAGAGAGTTCAAACTAAGGTTATCATCACTTGTTCCAGCAAATAATTTTCATTATTACTACAGTTACACTTACCTTCTCAGTTCTTCTTATACTGATTTCAAAGTTGCCTCCTCGCCTAAAGCAAGAAAAGACAATTAACATATGCAACAGCACAACTGCTACCAGCTTCACAACAGTTTTGTAACCTCAGAGAAAAGTGGAACGGAAATTGTAATATCACAGTGACTCATTTGGCAGAATCAAATTTCATCAGCGGCTACAATTATTCCCAGAAGTTAAAAAAAAATTATGTGCTGTGTGTTCTTACCTAGTGAGGTTACAGACAGTGCAGTGCTTTCCTGTGAAAGAGAGAAGCTGTTTCAGAATAACAGATATCATGATATACAAGTTTCATTCTCTATGAAATCCTGTCCACCAGGAACAGCCATTTGGTGTTACTAAGTGCCTATATCCTGGCAGGCTTCTGTAAGACTGGGATTTTTCAGCGGTCGCAACACCTTCTGACAATCTGCATTCACATTTTCTACAAATTGTTTTAACAACATCTCTTGCAGTCTCATTCACTACTTGCTTATGGACCACGCTCTTTAGTCTGTCAATGAACACTGTGTAAGGTTCGGTAGCATCCCGTCAAATGGTCACAAAAGACTGCTCCAATTTCCCTGCATCAGGCACCTTAGGAAGCACACGGAAGGCGAGGTTTTTTGACTGCTGCAGCGCATTAATGTGCAATGCTGCTTGCGCTACGGCGGTACTATAGTCTCCTCCTCCTATCAGCGCGTCCACCCCTACGGTTCTTAAAACATCGCCATCCTGGCATCCCAGATTCTCAACAGCTTGTTGTTGAGCAAGTTCTCACCACTGATGATACCATATCATGTACTGACTACTCGTCAAAATCAACTGTGCTATTATTTTGCAAACATGTGGGGCTAATATGTAACCCTCAAAGACAGACTGTAGAAAGTTCATGGCATAGGGAGACTTTAACCCATTTTCCTTCACCACACATCGCTTTTTTTTTTTAACAACTGTGGAACTAAGCCCTTCCCACTGGGGCCACCTCCCCTCTACACAGGTGACAGGGAAAGCCTTTAGAGCCTGCAGAACTTCTAAATTCCCTTCCTTCTCCACTTCTCAGTAAACTGCCCTCCACTGGTTAAAAGGGTCCCGAGGGTACAGATAAGGCTCCATTTGTGGGTCGACGGGTCCTGGGTCTAAGGGATCATAGTCATCATCGTCACAGCCCCCTACAGCACCGATGAGAGGTGGGGCGGATGGTCCGACTGCGGGGGGCTCAGATGAGCTCCAGCCAGTGGTACTACCCACATGTTTGAGAGTTTCAAACAAAGCGCACCAGTGTCCCAGAAGACTGGCCGCCATCTCATCGTGACGAGCGGCAGCATCCCAAAGTTTTATGCCTACCACATCCCATGTCTCAGGATTATAAACGCTGATGGAGTTAATTTGCAGACACTTGCGTGCTGCCCACATTAGTAATGACTCTAGATCACAAGTCTATGCAGCAGTTACATTTCTGCAGAATTTTCTGCATCATTTCGAGCACAGTTTTTTTGCTCCTGAGACATCTCATTTCCCATTGTTCCCAGCTGCTCACCTGCACTCCTCGGAGGCAATTAGGCTGCACAGACTTCTGCTTCCTTTCAGTAGTGCTTTGTCATTCAGCTGGGCTATGCCACCAGTTTAGCGATCCTTGCTGTATCTGACCCTCGAGAAGTTCAAACTTCAGGTCCCTGTTGGGGCACATTGATATGTTTGCTCTTCCCACGGCCTTTGGCCAACTAATGCCAAGATCATGGCCTGTTAGGCTCTCAGCAGACCCCACAACAGAATAATTTTTTCTTCATTCCTGAGTGCAGTGCTCCAGTGTCAGTTTGCAGACTAGCCTGGTAACTCCTACCACAGCTTGTATCTGATTGTGGTCTCTGCTGTACTGCATTATCAACACTCTACTGGCTAAGTGGTCCAAGCAATAACCACCCCCCCCCCCCCAGTTTTTAGTTACTAAGGTCACATCATCTGTTCACACAACACAAACTCTATGTAAAAGTTTGTAATTGACTACAGGTGAGGAACTGCTTATGTGCTCAAACAGCCCTTCCTCTTCAAGTCAAATTTAGGACTACACAGAAGTGCATTCTTCCTTCACAACATGTTTGTTCCCACAGCAGATGAGAGAGGGAGAATAACAATACAATAACAGAACACAGATCTATTATAGGACTAATTTCAGGCACCACTATCTAGGCATTTAGCACAAACACCATATCCTAGTAATTATAACCCCATGTATTCCAACACTTACCTCAGACAACTTGTGCTTCTTTCTCACAAACTCCCCATGAGCTTCACTCTGTAACAAGTGATATTTTTTTAACACACTCTCCTTGGCAGACTTCATGAGTCAAGTTCAAATGTGTGTACTGTTTCAGTGCAAGAGTCCTCCTCAGCCTCTTTCAGAGAGATTCCCATTGCTTAGAATATATCATCACCAACAGTACATGCTTTGCTTCATGTTTTGCTACTTTTGTTTCTCCTTAGAGGACCTGAAGTCAGCATTTCAGACCTTATACCCAACCACATCTTTTGCATCTCACAAAAGCTCTCATCTAGCCATCACAACGAATTATCACATTACTCCAACATCAGGACTACTTGCAAAAGCCCACTACATAATTAACCTATAAAACAGTTAAATAGCAAATAACTGTACTGTTTTCGGTCAGCAAAAGCCCTGTAATGCCAGGCTGCCACATTCTTTTCAACTAGAAACTCAAGCAGCCCATAACAGACATGTTATCTCAACTGGTCCATACTGCTTGTTTTCAGTTACAGAAAGCAGTTAAGATTCTCAGGTATACCTGATGTTACTTTGAAGTCTCATTAAGACTCCCATTAACTTCTCTGTCCATTACTGTTACAATCATTACCATTTATCACTGTCATTGGCCTCCCAAGTATGAGATTCAGTCCCTAGCACCTAAGGTAAGTGACATGCAGGCTGCTGGTAACCTGTGATCTATTACTAGGGCTAAGAAAATCCTCAAGGAACCTTCTGCTTAATGCTTCTGCTACACTGCACTTGGAAGACCAGCATCTAGTAACTTCCCCAGCACATATCACAGTTATGACCACTCACATGCATTTGCTGGCAACTTACTTCTGCTAGCAGCACTACCAACGCACCACTTCGCAGCTCCACCAGCCCTGGAACAAAGCAAAGTATGAGGAGAGCACACACACAAGCACACAACGATGAAATCTAGGCAGATGCCTGAAGTCAGATAGAGCTAATAATTGCACGCTTCCATGACTGAAGTCAAGGTAGTCACATCTCATCACACAGGCAGCTCACATTGTCAGTCACTAGACAGCTATCTGCTTTAGGCTAAGGTCGCTGTGGGGAAGAGGGTTAATACATGAAGTGCTATCAGAGCACCTTCACATGCTCACAAGCACACTGTGAGGAATTAAGCACAAACCAGCCTGCTGAGGCTGGCCCTTATCCAGCAGTTCTCCCCTTAAGCAGCATCCTGTTTTGGCCCAGATACCAGCAGCAGCCAACACCAACCCCTTACACCTCCTCCACAGCTTACTTACAGCTAAATACTTTATTTTCTAGGCATATATATTTTTAGGCTAATAATTGCAAAGTTAAAACCAGTACTTACATCATTATGAGAAACACTTTGGAAGCCTGCAAAGGAAAAGTTGCTGTTACATAGGGTCCAGCAGAAGACTTTAGCATACGAACAGTTTCGGTGAAATACTGTATCAGTGTTTAGTCACTTTATCCTCACTGGGATCAGAGACCTGATTCAACATCATCTACAGCAGCCTGCAACAATCCCATCCCCTCCCACAAGCAGGATGCAGAGCCACCTCCCAGCACTCTCCCCAACACCCCAGAGATGTTAATTCCTCAACTCCAGAGACTGTTGGAACTGCAGAAAGGAGCAAACCTCTGCAGAATTCCACAGTTCAGTGACATGAACTCTGTGTAAACATCTAAGCTGGTCTAA